CCCCTTGTCATTATGAAATGGACTTATTTATCCCTGGCAATATTCTTGGCTCTGAAATCTGCTTTGTCTGATAGTAATAGGCACTCCAGCTTTCTTCTGATTAGTGTGAGCATGGCATATCTTTTTCCATCCTTTTACTTTTAACCTCTTTGAGTCTTTATATTCGAAGTGTGTTTCTTGTAGGTATGTAGCTGGGTCTTGCTTTTTTATCCAATCTGGCAATCTCTGATTTTAATTGGGGTATTTGCATTTAAAGCATTTATGAACATGGTTGGGTTTATATCTACCATATGGCTATTTGTTTTTTATTTGAACAATCTCTTCATTCTCCGCTACTTCTTCTTCTCCTGCTTTCTTTTGGATTAACTTAGTATTGCTGAATTCCATATTAACTCCTATGTTGGCTTATAACTCCTTGTTGTATTATTTTAGTGGTGGCTTTAGGGTTTATAGTATAAATCTTCAACTTTCCACAGTCTACTTTCAGGTGATATTCTACCATGTCAGGTGTAGCATAAGAACCTTACAAAAGTACACTTCCTTTTCTCCCCTTCTGGTCTTTACGTGATTATTGTCATACATTTTATTTTTATACATGTTATAAAACTCACTCTACATTGCTATTATTTTTGTTGAGAGTCAATTACCTATTTTTTAAAAAGATTTATTTATTTGAGAGAGAGAGAGTGTGTGTGCATGAGCAGGAGTTGGGGGTGGGGGAGGGCCAGAGGGAGAAGGAGAGACTCTCAAGTAGACTCCCCCTTAAGCACAGAGCTCAACTTGGGGCTCCATTTCACAACACTGAGATCATGACCTGAGCAGAAATCAAGAGTCGGACACTAACCGACCGAGCGACCCAGGCACACCTCAATTACCTTTTAAAGAAATTTAAATACTAAGAAAAATCTTACATATTAAGAAAGTTATGGTGCACCTGGGTGGCTCAGTTGGTTAGGCAACTGACTCTTGATTTGGGCTCAGGTCATGATCTCAGGATCATGAGATCGAGCCCCAAGTCAGGCTCCCCACTCAGTGTGGGGTCTGCTTGAAATTCTCTCTCTCCCTCTGTCCCTCACCCCTGCTGTGCTCTCCCTCTCTCTCTCTAAAATAAATAAATAAAATCTTTTAAAAAACCTATTTTTGGTGCTTTTCATTGTTTTGTGCAGATCCATATTTCTATCTGATATCATTTTCCCTCTGTGTGAAGAGTTTCTTTTAATATTTCTTACAGTGAAAGTCTGCTGGTGATGAATCCTTTCAACTTTGGCAAGTCCAAACATGTCTTTGTTATAACCTTTTTTTTTTTTTTGAAACATAATTTTTCAGAGTATAGAATTTTATCTTGATTTTTCTCCTTTAATACTTTTTAAAATGTTGCTCCACTTCTTGGTTTTTTTTTTTTTTTTTTTTTTTCCCAAAGAGAAATGTGCTGTCATCCTTAACTTTGTTCTTTTATACATAACATTTCTTTTATTCTCAGGCTGAGTCTTAAAGTATTCCAGACTGGCTTGTGGGAAAAGGCACTATTCCCAGTCCCATGTGAGGACCACATACTGTTCCCTCCAATCCTTCCAGGTGATTCTTTCCCTCACACACATGCAATAGTCAGTGCTCAGCTGAATGTTTGAAGGGGGTCACTGCAGATGCCTGAGTTCTCTCTCTGACCGACCAGTTCTCTTCTGTCTCCTATTCTATCCCATGAATTCCAGGTGCTTTGGTCTCCCTCGACTCTCAGCATCGTGTCTTCAAATCAGAGAGTTCACTGGGCTCTGCCTCAGTTGCCCCTCCTAAGGCATGGTGTGGAAACTCTCGAGGTAGTAAACTGGGACAAATGTAAGACTAATTAAATTAAATTAAATTAAATTTAATTTAATTTAATTAATTTCCTCACTCTCACTGCCTGATGTCCAGTGTCTTGCTATTTTAGTCAGGAGGGTAACTTCATGTAACTTCAACCTGGTCAGAGTGGGAGTCCCCGAATGTTCATTTCACTGAAATCTTAGGGCCACCCAGTTCCATGCACAATGTATGGTGTCCACCCTCGCATTATCCGGCCCTCAGGACAGGGAGCATGTACCTTGCACACTGCTCCACACACAGACAGAACTTAGAAATACTGAACAATGACTCTTCATCAGCAGTCACTAAGGCAATGATGTGCTTGCACAAACATGAATTATGTAAGTTCCAACCAGTATTGTTCACTTGATGATCTAATTTTGGAAAAAAAGTTTGTATGAGATCTCATTTATCCCAGGTTTTAGGCACAAAAAGTGACAGACGATGCTTCTTTTAGCACTATGTTCTTTTTTTTTTTTTTTTTTTAAAGATTTTTTTTAAATTTATTTATTCATGAGAGAGAGAGAGGCAGAGGCAGAGGGAGAAGCAGGCTCCCCACGGAGCAGGGAGCCCGATGTGGGACTCGATCCCAGGACCCTGGGATCATGACCTGAGCCGAAGGCAGGCGCTTAACCGACTGAGCCACCCAGGCGTCCCAGCACTATGTTCTTTTAGCAACTAAATGTCACTCTTGCGACATTCAGCCCATCACCCAAAGAAAGCAACAATCGAGGAAGCTTCTGTAGCAAGAGCCAACCTAAGACTTTCTCATGGTTTCTTGATGCACAGTGATAATATTATTAAAATAGACAACCAACTGCTATGGAAACATTCAATGTGGAGAGAAAGAACCTCAGAATCCAAAGGTTTGCCCAGAACAGTTTAAGAGCAACAATGCTGGGATGCTGAACTCTTGCCTAGACCAAGTGCTGGAGGCTGCTGTGTCTTGAATCTTCCCCTCCGGCCCAAGATAAGCTAAGCAGACAGGAAGAACTGATCACTTTTGTTAAGTGTCAATGCCTGCAAGACATTTAGCAGCCTTTTTCCCTTTCCCATTTTCAAATACACAGTCTTAAATCCCAAAGAGCCAAATTAGTAACATTCCAGTGAAACTAAATTATCAGAGATAACGAATGCACAGGGCAACAATTCAATCAACCAATCTGTCTATCCACCATCCTATTTGCCATCAGTCCATCTGTCCACCATCCTGTCTGTCCATCAGGTCATCTGGGAGGGTATGAAAGCCCAGGGGCAGGACACCACTGGACACGTCAGCCCATGAAATGCATCAAAGGGAATGAGCCAAGGGAGGAAGACGAGAGGACCACAGGTGGTTTTGAGCACACCCTCAGGTTGAGTCATCTGTCAGAAGCCACAATATCTGCATCGGCTCAGCAACCCCAGCAGAGCCCCAACCCTCCCCTATGTGGGCTACCTCTGCCTGAGGGGTCACTTCTGGTCTTACCTTCCACCTGCTGACCTAAACTTTCTTGTTTGACCCCAGAATCCCTGAGTTCTCTTCCTAACTGCTGCCAGCAAACTCCTGTTCTAAGAGATAACCGCCTTCCTGGAGCTACAGGTGGAAACCAGCCAAGTGGCAGGAGCCTCCCACCTTGCCAAGGCACTAAGGAAAGTCATGATGAGCCACGGCACCTGGCTGCCTCAGAGGAGCTCAGCTCCTGGCCCAGCTGTACCCCAGCGCTAGCTGTTACTTTGTTCTGCATTCTCTTTCCTTCCATGTGGACTCCCACACAACATCCACGGGAGCAAAGCAGGCATCTCCACCACCATCACCCCCACCATCGTCACGGACACAGAGTGCACACCTAACTAGGCCTCCCTGCATCATGGGCACACCTTTACTTAGCCACCTACTTTCAGGTGATATTATACCTGAGAAATGATCAGAGGTGAGAAATGATCACACTGGCTTTCACAGGAGGCCCTCATGCATGTTGTTCATGTTGGAGAAACTCTAGGGCTGTGCCTATTATGAAGGCCCAGCCCTTCCTCATTTCTTGCACTTCATCCCTCACTCCTCACCCCTCCACAGGCCCCAGCTCTGATACAGAGAGGCAGGGCAGCAGACTTTCTGGAAACTTATCCTTCCCCTTTTATTTTCTACCACTGCCCTTAACTTGCTCTTGACCCCTTCGCACTGAGGCTAAAACTTGTCATCCTCCCCTGCAGGTTCAGGGCTGCTGTTTATAGGACAATATTCAGCCAAGTTCAGAATCAAACTCAGGCCAAAACCCCAATAGGGGCTCCTTCTTCCCTCCTTCCTCCAGGAAATGTCTTTTGGAGGCTCCAGCAGTGCCTGCATCCAGCCCACATGCCAATGAAGCAGTGTAGTCCCTGGGGGTCACCAATGCAGGGCTGTCATCTGGGGATGAACCCCAGTTTCCACCACAGCTGATCCCCATAGCCCTGCTATGCTACTGCATCACAGGTCCACAACACCACACCCCACCCGCTATGCCCTCACAGACCCCACGTGGGTTCCCCTTCTAACCAGCTCCGAGCCCTCGTAAGGATGCAGAGACTCTCCAAATCCTGTTTCCCGCATCTTGCAGTGGTCTCTGCTCTCAGGTTGTGGGGGAATCGGGCACAGATTCCAGCTCTTCTCAGAGTCTCCCTCAACTCTCCAGTGACTCAAAGTGAGATTTCTCACACCTCGTGCCCCTCACTGCACAATTCAGTCTGAGGCCCAGTGCTGGGGACATACTAAGCAGTCTCCAAATGCTTGGCACATCCCTGTCTGCCTTCTTCCTGGGGCTGGACACCCCTGGGGTCATTTCCTGCATTCTTCCCAAGGGATTCAAACATTGGAGAAGTGCTTTCATCATCTGACCCTCATTGGCCCTTCCCCATACAGTCAACAACAGCCACCACCAAGTTTAATGACATTTACTGCAGGTCTCCATGGGCCAGGCCATGGGGGCTAGCATTTTACAAACGTAGTGGTCCCCATCAGTCCTCGCAGCATGGTAGGAGGCAGACGCACGGATCGCAAGGCTAGGTGATACACCCAGGGTTATGAAGACAATGGGTTTCTGCCTGAAGCTGATGCCCTGCTTGCAGACACACAGTGCTGGCCTTGCACTAGCTAAAGCAGGGGGACCCGGGGGGCTGGCGCCTCTGGGGCCCGCGGGGCTCACCATGCCTCCTGTGCACTCGCGGCAGTCCTGCAGGCAGCTGACGTTCTCCCAGGTACTGTAGGCCTTCAGCCCCGCCACCAGCGCCTGCAGCGGGCGACTGTCCACGAGCTCCTTCCCACGGAAGATGTCCTCGTCCAGGAGGACCCCAGCATACCTGAGAGAGGAGTGCAGACATGTGAGCGACGCAGCAGTGCCCCCACCCCAGCCCCCAGGAACCATGGTGGAGGCGCGTCTGAGGCAAGCCCAGGGTGACACCTGCTCCTTCCTCAGATGCTACCAAAGTCTCCATGTGCCCTTCAGAACCGTCACCCTGCACCCTGTCGCTGTGAGGCTCCACCACGCCATCTGCCCCTTGGAAAACTTCTCCCTTGCTTTCTGTCCAGGCTTACTTTTCTGCCAGCCCCTCAGAGGCCCCATTGCTCACGTTGGCATCTGTCTTCACAGCCCTTGACCCGACAAAAAATGGGCACTCAGTGTAACTCTCTCCCTGCTGTCGTCTACCATAGAAGATCATATTCCAAACTATTTCCCTCCTCCCTTCACACAAAAGTCTTTCACGTCTCTTATATATATATTTTTTAATTTTTCTGATTCTACTTCCGTTGAAAGCGTGCTAGGCAGAATAATGGCCCCCAAAGATGACCAGGTCCTCATCCCTGAAACCTGAGAATATGTTACCCCACGTGGCAGAAGGGATTTTTTTCAGATGTGATTAAATCTAGGATCTTATGATTGGGAGATTATCCTGGATCATCCGGGAGCCCAAATGTAATCACAAGGGTCCCTATAAGTGAGAGGGAGGCAGGAGAAGGAGATGGGGCAACAAAGTAGTCAGGGAGATGCAGCATGAGACTCAACCAGCCATTGCTGGCTTTGAAATGGATGAAGGGGCCACAAGCCAAGTAATGAGGGAGCCTCCAGAAGCTAGAAAATGCAAGGAAGTCAATTCTCCCCTAGAGCCTCCAAAAGGAATGCAGCCCCGCTGACACTGATTTTGCATCATTGAGACCTATTTTGGACTTCTGATCTCTAGAACTGTAAGATAACAAATTTGTGTTATTTTAAGCCACCAAGTTTGTGGCAATTACTTATAGCACCAATAGAAATGTATACAGATAGGAATTGACTTCTTCCTTCAAAGTGGTAAGATTCACCATTTTCCTTCATCTCTCAGCCACCTATGACTATGACTACTATGCAGCACAATGTCTATGGGCCTCCCTCCATCTGCATGCACACCCCCTCAGTTCTGGTTTTCTTCTTTGCCATGTTTCAAAATACTATAATGGAAGGTACAGGTTTCCCTCTCTCTCCCTTCTGAACAATTTCTTATAGAGCTTGTTTTTAAAGTCTCTTAAAGTGAGTTATCGTTTATAACAACTGCTGGGAATAAAAGCTTTAGTGAACTCTTTCTCACTATGCTCTACCAAATTCTAGGACTGGCCTCTGATAAAGGGTGGTAAACACACTGAGCTGGGTACTTTCCTCTAAGCACCTCAAACTCATGGAAAGTACCATGAAGTATGGCCTTTCTGGTCTTCTCAACTGAAGCTTCAGACTCTGGAGACTGATAAAAGTAGTGGCAGTTAGAGGTGTTGATTCATTGACTGTTCTCTGTCAATTGAGTGCCATCTATTGAGATGATTATATGATGTTTCTCCTTTATAATGTTAATATGGCAAATCATATAGATTGATTTTCAAATGTTACACAAGCCTAACATTCCTGGGATAAACACCACTTGATCACTGTATAGAGTAAAATGCACTGTATGTGATCTACTAACATTTTGTTCACAAGGGATAGTGGTCTCATAATGTCTTTCCCTGGTTTTTGGTGTCAAGGTAATGCTCCTAAAATGAATTAGAAAGTTTTCCCTTCTCCTTCAACTTATGAAAGAGTTTGTATAAAGTTAGTATGTTTTCTTTTCTTAAGTATTTGATATATTTCACCAACAATGTCAGATGAAGCTATTTTGATTTTCCAGTTCTTTTTCAGTCACTTTTGGTAACATGTCTTTCATGAAATTTTCTATTTCATATATATTGTAAAATATATTGGCATTACACTGACATTATATCAATAATAATAACCATAGTATTTAATTTTATCCTTTCAATCCATTTGAAAGGATACTGTAGGATCCTACTGTAGGATCTGTAGTGATGTCCTCTCATTTATTCCATATGCTGATCATTTGTGTGTCTTTTTTCTTAATTAATCTAGCTGAAGGTCTATCAATTTTATCTATTTTTTGAAAGAAAAAATAATTTTTGGCTTAATTATGTTTATTTTTTGGCTATTTCTTATTTCAATGATTTCTGCTTTCATTTTTATTATTCTTTCTGCTTGATTTGAATTTGATTTGTTCCTTGTTCCACCTGAGACTAATGTAACACTGTATGTTAATTATACTTAAATAAAATAAATAAAATAAAATAAGAAAAGAAAAGAATGTGCATTCTACTGTTGTTGGATAGAATATTCTATAAATTTCTTTTAAGTTCAATTTCTTTCAAGTTCATTAGTAATGTTCATATCTTTTATATCATTACTGTTTATTATATCAATTACTACTCATTAAAATGGAAATTTACACCATTGATTTTCTTTTTTTTTCTTTCTTTTTTTTCTTTTTTAAAGATTTTATTTATTTATTTGAGAGAGAGAGAATGAGAGACAGAGAGCATGAGAGGGAGGAGGGTCAGAGGGAGAAGCAGACTCCCTGCCGAGCAGGGAGCGCCATTGATTTTCTAATTTTCTCCTTTTCTAATGTAAATATTTTAATTTTTCCTCTAAGAACTGGTTTAGCTGTACACCACAAATTCTGATATGTTGTTTCATTTTCATTTTGTTCAAAATATTTTCTAATTTCCCTTGAGACTTCTCCTTTGACCTATAAATTATGTGTGTTGTCTAGTTTCCTAATATATGGGATTATCCCAGATGTTTTTGTTATTAATTTCTAATTTCATTCTAATCAGAAAACATACTTTGTCTGATTTCAATCCTTTAAATTTACATGGTTTGTCTTGATAAATGTTCTACGTGCACTTGAAAAGAACAGATATTTTTCCAAAAAAGGCATACAGAAGGCTAACAAACATATGAGAAGACATTCAACATCAAAAATTATCAGGAAAATGCAAATCACAACCACAATGAGATATCACTATACACCTGTCATTATGGCTAAAATAAAAAAACATAAGAAATAGCAAGTGTTGGCAAGGATAGGGAGAAAAAGGAACTCTTGTGCAATGTTTGTGAGAATGCAAATTCGTGCAGCCACTGTGGAAAACAGTATGGCAGCTCCTCAAAAAATAAAAATAGAAATACCATATGATGCAGTAATTCCACTACTGGGCATTTATCCAAAGAAAATGAAAACAGTAATTCAAAAAGATATATGCACCCTTGAGTTTACTGCAGCGTTATTTACAATAGCCAAGATATGGAAGCAACAAAGGCATCCATCAATATATGAATGGATAAAGAAGATGTAGTGTATATACATAAAATGGAATATTAATCAGCCATAAAAAGAATGAAATCTCACCATTTGCAACATGGATGGACCCAGAGGCTATAATGCTTAGTAAACTGTTAGTCAGAGAAAGATATATCCCGTATGACTTCACTCATATGTAGAATTTAAGAAATAAAACAAGTGAACAAAGAAAAAAAAGACAAAAAACCAGACTCTCAACTATAGAGAACAATCTGGTGGTTACCAAAGGGGAGACGGCTGGGGGGATGAATGAAATAAGTAAAGGGGATTAAGAGTATGCTTATCTTGATGAGCACTGAGAAATGTATAGAATTGTTGAATCATACATATATTGTACACCTGAGACTAATATAACACTGTATGTTAATTATACTTAGATAAAATAAATAAAATAAAATAAGAAAAGAATGTGCATTCTGCTGTTGTTGGATAAAATATTCTATAAATTTCTTTTAAGTCAAGTTCATTAGTAATGTTCGTATCTTTTATATCATTACTGTTTATTATATCAATTTTTATATCAACTACTCAAAGAGAATGACTGATGTTTGCAACTATAATTTTGGATTTGTTAATTTCTCCTTTCAATACTTTCCATTTTTGCTTCATGTATTTTGAGGCTATTTTGTGAGACCATGCACATTTAGATTGTTATGTCTTTTTGATGAGTAGACTGCTTTGTCATGAAATGTTCCTCTTTATCTCTGTTGATATTCTTTTTTCTGAAGTCTACTTTATCTAATATTAACATATCCACTCCAGCTCTCTTATGGTTAATGTCTACAGGTATAAATGTTTTATTCTCACACTTTTAATCTATTTGTCTTCATATTTTAGGTGGGTTTCTTTTTTTTTAAGATTTTATTTATTTGACAGAGAGAGAGAGACAGCTAGAGAGGGAACACAAGCAGGGGGAGTGGGAGAGGGAGAAGCAGGCTTCCCGCCGGGCAGGGAGCCCGATGTGGGGCTCGATCCCAGGACCCTGGGATCATGACCTGAGCCGAAGGCAGACGCTGAACGACTGAGCCACCCAGGCGCCCCTTAGGTGGGTTTCTTATAGCAAGCATCTAGTTTAGTCTTGATTTTTTTATCATGTCTGACAATCAGCAAATTAAATAGGAGTGTTTAAACCATTTACACCTAATGTAATTATCAACATGATTGAGTTTGAAACTATTATCTTGCAATTTTTCCCTCTATCTATCCCATATGTTCTTTGTTCTCTTTTCCCTCTGCTCCTGTCTTCTTTTGATTAATTGCTTAGGTTTTAGTATTCCACTGTTAGAGTTTTAGCTATGTTACTTTTATGTTTTATAGTAATTTTTATGGTCTAAAATATGTATCTTTAACTTAACATGTTCTTCCCTCAAATAATGTTATATCACTTCTCAGATAATCAAAGAACCTTACAATAATATAACAATACACTTCCATTTCATTCTCCCATCCACAGTGCTACTGTTGAAATTATTTCATATCTATCTACCTATCTATCTATATCTTCTACATATGTTATAAAATTCATTGCTATTTTTGCTTTAAATAAACAATTTATCTTCTTACCTTATCAACATTATTGAGGATAATTTATTTTACAATAGACTGCATTCATTCAAAGCATGCCACTTAACGAATTTTGACAA